GGCCATGGAGGAGGACACCTCAGGAGGGGCAAGCAGGGCTTCACCAACACAGTGTTTACAGTGTCTGTAGAGAGCTGGGGATGCTGTTGGATGGTGGAAGGAATACTTTGAGGATCTCCACAACCCCCTGTCATGCCTTCTGTAGAGGAAGCAGAGGTAGGGGACTTTGAGGCGGACTCGTCTATCACTCTGGCTGAAGTCACTGAGGTGGTTAGCAAGCCCCTCAATGGCAAGACTTTGGAGGTGGATGAGATCCGTCCCAAGTATCTTAAGTCTCTGATGTTGTGGGGTTGTCTTGGCTGACATGTTTCTGCAACATCACGTGGCAGTCGGGGACAGTGCCCCTGGACTGGCAGACCAGGGTGGTGGTCCCTCTGTTTAAGAAGGGGGATCGGAGGGTGTGTTGCAACTACAGGAGAATCACACTCCTCAACCTGTCCAGTAAGGTCTATTCCAGGGTACGGGAGAGGAGAATCCGACCAATGGTCGAACCTTGGATCCAGGAGGAGCAGTGTCTTTTTCATCCAAGTCACGGAATACTGGACCAGCTTTACACTCTCCCTCGGGTGCTCGAGGGTTTATGGGAGTTTCCCCAACCAGTCCACATGTGCTTTGTGGATCTGGAGAAGGCATTCGACCATGTCCCTTGTGGTGTCTTGTGGGGGGTGCTCCAGGAGTATGGGGTTTGGGACCCTTTGGTAAGGGCTGTCCGGTCCCTGTATGACCAGAGCTGGAGTTGTGCTCACATTGCTGCCAGTAAGTTAGATCTGTTCCCCATGCATGTTGGTCTCTGCAAGAGCTGCCCTTTGTCACCGGTTCTGTTCATTGTATTTATAGACAGAGTTTGTAGGTGCAGCCAGGGGCCGGAGCGGATCCTTTTTGGGGACCACAGGATCTCATCTCTTCTGTTTGCAGATGATGTTATCCTGTTGGCTTCATCAGGCCAGGACCTACAATGTGCACTGGTTTACAGCAGAGTGTGAAGTGCTTGAAATGAAGATCAGCTCCTCCAAATCTGAGGCCATGGTTCCCAACTGGAAAAACGTGGCTTGCCCTCTCCGGGTGGGTAGAGAGTCCCTGCCTAAAGTGGAGGAGTTCAGGTATCTCGGGGTCTTTTCCACGAGTGAGGGGAGGATGGAGCGTGAGGTTGACAGGCAGATCAGTGCAGCATCGGCAGCAATGCGGTTGCTGTATTGGACCGTTGTGGTGAAGAGGGAGCTGTGTGTCCAGGGTGAAGGAGTTCTGGTAGTCCCTTCTTAGACTGCTGCCCCGTTACCCGGCCCCAAACGGAAGAAATGCATGGATGGATGAATTGGCTTGTGGTGTGCCTAGCACTTAAAAGTGGTTTAAGGGAAAGCCCATAGAGTGAGATAGCCCATTCAGTAGACCTGTAGATCACGCTTGATATTATAAAAATTATCACCTGTGTCTAGACACCATGAGAGGCAATGTAGTACATTGCAGGGTACATTGTCTGACTTTTGGGAAAATGTTCTGTGATAATGAGGCTATCTTCAAACTTGAATTCAATTAAATATGTAGCTTCTTTGCATGCAATTTTTGTATATACACTGAAATTTTTTTTATTGCTTACAACCTTATACTATATTGAGACTGTTAAATACATTTTCTTAAGTGATATATTTCTTGTCATATATTATTGCCTGGTTTGGTAATAATTACAGTAGTAGCCGTAGAGGTAATTATTTTTCAGGTTTAATGAGTAATTTTTATAGTACAACTGTATTATTTAAACATAAAAATACTGCATTTATAAGTAGATTTTATGTAAAATTTACAGGAAAGTGTACTTTAAAATACCACCTTCTACTGTGGTTTTACCAGTTTAAACTATTTTAAAATTAAATATTTCCCTGTTAATTTTACCAAAAATCTGTGCACAAAAAACACTTATTTCATGTAGAAAATACAGGAAAGGATGTATAGTAAGCATTTTTTCATATTAAAAATACAGGAAAGTGTCGTGGGTGCACACCCCAACACAGAACAGATTGATATAAGATACTTTAACAAACAATAGTGCCCCCTAGACAATTTGTATGGAACAATAACGTTTAATTTGTCATGCCATGCAAAATGCGCTTTGTGTTGCATTTTTGTATGAAAAGCGCTCTCTAAATAACGTTTGACTCATCTTGATAAACACGCACCAAAATTTAGGGTTGGGGTTGGGGCTATGGTTAGGATTACAACTAGGGTTAGGTTTAAGCTTAGGGTTAGGTCCAGCGTTGGGGCTGAGGGTAGGGATTAGAGTCGTGGTTGGGGTTTACCGTTATTAGGGTGGTAGTGTGGGACGCGTGCGGGATGTGGCACTTGCGGGATGCAGCGCTTGCGGGACGCGGTGCTTGTAGACGCCACACTTGCGGGATGTGTATATATTCTACATTTATATATAGTCTATATTTTAAAATTATTTTTATATGGAAAATGATAGGACTATGCTGCTACTGTTCTGGCATTTCCATATTGTAGAACACATCAGATCAAAACAAGAGTAAAAATTCAGTTATCTCATCAATATATTCTTACTCATGTGAAATGTGTTAAAACAACAATAATAATACATTTTATTTATTAGGCACCTTTCTCGACCCGTAAGGTAGCCTCACAACACATTTGCTATTTTAAAAACATTAAATACGGCACAAAAACGCCATTAAGAGGATAGTTTGATGTTGTAATTGATTAAAAAGAACTGTTCTAATTGATCAGCTTAAGAGCACAACTTGCTCTAAAATAAAGTATTCTGCACTTCAAAACTTATCCTATTTAAATCATGAACCACCTCAAAAACTGGGTTGGCATGTGAGTCACTGCCCTTAATTGGTTTTATTCCTATCTTTTAGAAAGAACCTTTGCAGTCACCTAGGCAATTTTACCTCCTCCGCTGTCCGCATTAGCTGTGGTGTGCTACAGGGTTCTATTTAAGGTCCGATTTTATTTTCTCCCTTGCTCCCTTTAGGACACGTTATAGACTGCCATAACGTGTCCTGCCACTGCTATGCCGACGACACACAGATCTACTGCCTACTGAGACCAAATGACCCCAGAAGTCTGGCTGCTGCGTTAAACTGCTTCAAGGACGTGAGCAGATGGATGACACAGAACTTTCTACAACTCAACAGCTCCAAATCTAAAATCATTTTAATCAATCCCCCCATTCCACCTCCCATATCAGTAATATTCTTAGCCCTCTCGCTCTCAACATCACTCCTGCTGCCAGAAATCCTCGTGTCATTTTTGATTTTGAACTTCCACCTTCAAATCAAAAGTCACCAAATCCTGTTTTCTCCACCTCTGCACAATTAGCAAAATCGAAACTATTCTCTACAGCCCTAATCTTGAAAAAGGCATCTCATCTTCTCCCGTCTAGGCTATTGCAACTCCCTCCTCTCTGGCCTTGACTCCAAATCCATCTCCTGCTTCCAGCTGGTTCAGAACACAGCAGCTCGCTTCCTCACTGGGTTTAACAGACATCATCACATGACCCTTGTTTTAAATTCCCTTCCCTAGCTGCCTGCGTGTTTTAGAATCGATTGTAAGATTTTACTGATCACTTTTAAAGCTTTTTTAGGTCTTTCACCAAGTTACATTTCAGAACTTGTAACCGTGTACGAGCCCTCCCTCAGCCTTAGATCCTCAGGCAGATCCCTGTTAGCTGTTCCAAAGTCCAAGCTCCGGATGAAGGGAGATGAAGCCTTTTTGAGTTTGGGTGCTTTAGCTTTGGAACAACCTGCCTGAGGAGATAAGGCTTGCACCATCAGTATCATCTTTTAAATCATTTTTTGAGACTCTTTTTTTTTTTTTTTTTTTTCGGTTGGCCTTCCTTTAACTGGTTTTACCTTCATTTTATTTATCACATGCATTGCATCCATACTTGAGCAAGATGGATGAAGAGTCTTGCCCAATGGTTGGTTTGAATGGTTTTGACCTGGCCATTGAGCCATCGGAAGCTGGCTTTCACACAGATTCTATCTACACGTAGCAGAACTTTTTCTGTTGCACTCCTTAATAAAATATATAAGCAAAATGTATGTGTTTGCAAAGAGCTAAAGGCCCTCACTAGAAATGAAGCATGCAGATCCCCCCCCACACACACATTTTAATTTTGTATTTTTTGGTCATAGCCTCAAGGTGGCAGCATAGACTCTATGTTGGTGTATTTAATTAAGCTATAGGTGAGCTCGTGGACTTCATATCTCCAGAGTGAAAAGTAGCCTAACTGCAGACAAATTCTAGGGATTTTTTATCTAGTACAGATTTTGACTCATGAACATATTTGGGAATCTTATTGCAATAGCAACATGTTTCTTTCAGATTTTGTATTCAAGGACAGTGAAGTAAGAGTAAAACAATAAGACCTAACAAAATAACAATTAACCTTCTTATAAACCATTGCCACTGTTTTACACGTGGTGGATGCAAACTCACAATGTTAACAAATGGACAGACATACAGACCTATCTGGGAATATAGTCTGACCTGATATTCTTTTAACCATCTTGATCTGAGTGAGGAATAATGGCTATGGGCAATTGGCTTTATTTATACAATCTTAAACGCGATGGTGTCTCAATAATCAGTGTCTCGGGCGATTTATTCAAATCTTGGTTGAAACTGACCATTTAGCTATGGTACACGCGAAAAGTAACCCTATAAGAGGTCGATCCTGGTATTTTAACATAAACCGGATAGAACTTAACTTAAAGTGTTATGACATTTATTTACTTAAGTAAATTGCATAATTGAATAAGTCTATTAAATTAAAGGTGGAGTTTGTGTAGAAGAAACACTGTATAATATGACAAAATCTATTACTGTAGCCTACTTTATCTTTAAAAATAAAACTTAAAACATGTGCAGTACACCCGAGGGCACTGTGTGGTCTGTGCGTGTATGTGCGTGAGTGTGCAGGGCCCGCTGCTGGTTGTAAATTGATCCCTCCCACTCTCTGGTCCGCTGTGCAGAGGAGGGGCGAGGAGGAGGGAACCGAAGCAGGAAGGAAGACAGCAGGCTGTGAATGCTAACAAGCCCGTGGTAATACTGCTCCGTAGGTAGGCTTTGATAATACATATTGCAATGGAGATGAACAACGACCACTGTTGAAGACCTACTATGCGCCAGCCGCGTCTCCTCTGTGCGGGTGCAGCAGCCGCCGTCGTCGGTGCGTTTGATGTGAAAACCGTCTTTTCCACTGAGTGAAATGTATCGCGACTGCTTGGGATTCACATTCTGACAATGGAGATTGAAAATATCGTGGCCAACACGGTTCTCCTGAAGGCAAGAGAAGGTAAGATCCACACAACAGCATAATTAAGGCAATATTTGCTCCCACCTTTACGACATGGCTATGGAGGAGCTCGCGCTCTCGCCTGTCCTTTGGATTTATGCTCCTCTGTGCCCCATCCTTGCGCAGCGCATTGTCTCCAGGCAAACACCAAACATATTCCACAGAAATGTGCTGTTTGGATCCGCACAGCGCAGGTCTTCAGCGGGCAGGTTGACATAGGCCCCGGCTGTACCGAGGAGGAGGATGAACGCAGGGAGTGTTTGCAGCATCGCGCCTAGATTGCAGCGTTGCACTTAGAGCTGTCGAGCAAAATGTTTTCACTCACAAGCACCAGTGGTTTGCGATTATGCATTATTATCGGTGACATAAACATTCCCGTTTTGTGGTTTTCATGCTGCGCATTTTTTGTGTGGAAATAGAATAACCTAGTCTATTGGAGACCTGCCCCAGCTACACATCGGCTCTTACCTGTCATTTGAGGTTTACCATGTTTCGAGCCTAACTGGGAGACAAGTGTGAACGTGTGCATTGTGTGACGCAAAAACATGGCACTGCATTGGCGTATGTGTGTTTGGTTTATGTTAAACTTTTATGGAGAGGGGTCTGGAAGCAGAGCGCTGGCAGACGAAAGAGGCCCACAGCTGTGTGCGCCCCAGCGGCCCCTGCGTTCACCCCGCGGCACAGGGACCCGAGTACTGTGCTCACCTGGAGGAGTAGGAGGAGGAGGCGAGCCTTCATCGTTTCCATGAGATGGCAGAGCAGAGAGCCTACTTTGTGTCAGTGTGTGGGCGCTGAGCAGGCGTAAAGCATTGTATTAGCCAGGCTTGAGAAAGGTGTGATGAGAGAACAGCTAACCATTTTAACAGTTTTCTTGCACAGGTGTTGTCCAAGTTATTTTTCTTACCCCGTCTCCATTCATTGGTATTGCTTGGTTTAGAGTGTGCCAAGGACTCCCCTGCCTGTGGTTTGCATTATAGTCAGGCCATGTTTCTGTTCAAGATGAAACGCCAACGCAGAAATGGATTATTCACAGCAACAGTGAGTGCATTTTTATGGCTGTTGCTTTCGTACCTGTTTGAAATGGTACCAGGCTTGCCTTATGCTCTCTTCCTGGAACCTGTACTGTGACTTGTGTACACCTGCCTTAACCAAACTAAAATGAAGAAAATAAAGGTTTTAAACTATAGCCTACTTCAAGTGACAAGATGGATTATAGATTTACAGATGATTTTGATACATCCACACAATGAAAAGACTTAATTTGAAACACCCTCTTCAGTCCATCATCTGTAACACATGCACACTATTACTACATACTACTGGTAACATATCAGACACTACTGGTAACAGACGCACACGTATTCTATTCTATAGGCTATACTATGGAAGTCTTTTTACTTAATTTAACCAGAAACGTCCCCCCTGATTGATAGTTGAGTTAAGTTTGTGTATATAAGTTGGAAACATGGCAGTTACAAAAATAGTTTTATTTCTTCACCATGTAAAGCATATCAATTGCATAACTGCTGTACATACTGTTGAATTACAGCTCACTAATGGATTATACCAATGATGGGTGTTAGCTGCTGTGGTGACAGGTCAAAAGGAAATTAGCTCAGTAAAGAGATTTGCAAAAGTCACACAGGATATATAGAGTTTTACTTTATCTTTGAATCATAAACAATCAACTTAAACTCATTTGTATTGATTTGTATTGATTTTATATCTTCAAAACCTTGATAGCCTTTTTTAGTCCAATGCTCTTTTTATCTTAACCTACTCTGATCTTTACACAGCAAAAAATAAGCCTGTATTTGTTCAGGTCAAGCTGGGTGAGATGTCAAAAGTATCAGTATTTGTTAGTGCCTAGAGATTACAACTTAGATTTTGCTGTAAATGAATCAAACTGAAAAGTATTACATTATAACAATATCTATAAATTGATATGATTTTCTGTTACTGTGTTGTTCACCTTCTTCTGAGGATGTGCAAAAGTGCAAATTTAAAAAGCTAAACATTTTCAATGCTTTTGCCCAACTTTCCTCATTGGTGTAATGCAAAAATGTTGGGTCTGCCTTTAGTCGAAGGAAGTGCTGCTTCAGAGATGAGAACCATTTTTCCCCTCTTGTTTCACCCATTTGTTATGAAAATAATTATCTACACTGACAACTATGTGTGAACAAGACCCCGAGATACCGTTGTGGTGAAGAGAGAGCTGAGCCGAAAGGCAAAACTCTTGATTTACCGGTCAGTCTTCGTTCCCACCCTCACCTATGGTCATGAGCTCTGGGTAATGACCGAAAGGACAAGATCGCGGATACAAGCGGCCGAAATTAGTTTCCTCCGCAGGGTGGCTGGGCGCTCCCTTAGAAATAGGGTGAGGAGCTCAGTCACACGGGAGGAGCTCGGAGTAGAGCCGCTGCTCCTTCACGTTGAGAGGAGCCAGTTGAGGTGGCTCGGGCATCTTTTCCGGATGCCTCCTGGACGCCTCCCTCGGGAGGTGTTCTGGGCATGTCCCACTGGGAGGAGGCCCCGGGGAAGACCCAGGACACGCTGGATGGACTATGTTTCTCGGCTGGCCTGGGAACGCCTTGGGGTCCCCCCCAGAAGAGCTGGAGGAAGTGTGTGTGGAAAGGGAGGTCTGGGAGTCCCTGCTTAGACTGCTGCCTCCGCGACCCGGCTCCGGATAAGCGGAAGAAAATGGAATGGAATGGAATGGAACAACTATGTGTAAATGTATGTGTATCCATTTTTGCTTGTTGCCTAATTTAGGATGTCAATATTATAATAGAGTTATACTCCTAAGGCCCAACTACTATAGCTTGGTTTGGGACTGGCTTGGATTTTAATTATTCATGTTTTTATGTTTTTTGTTTTGTTTTGTTTTGCAGGGCCATTATATTTAATCTGTTGACTGTCCAGAGATCATCACATCATGCAAAACAAAAATCACCCAAACCTCTTTCTCCTAATAGGATTGTGATTCTTCTGACAAGAATTGCAGTTGTCTTTAGATGTGTGATTTATGTTCACATTATAAACAACTCCAGGAGTCTTAACATTTGAGAAAAGACTGAAATATTCGCTGCCTAACTAATTCAAGAATTTCATGTATTTCAAAAAAAAAATCCTAGTAATAGGACATATGTTCAGTGGAGATATTGATTGAGAAATTATTGTATTTTTTCACTTCGATTAAGATTGTGATATTTATTTGATTGTGATATGTTGTGTAACCTTACTTATCCTTTCTGAACAAACTTTTCCTTTGCACCTTTGACTCTCACGGTCTCCCTTCTCTCAGTGTTTAGCACTCCTCCCTGTGCACCACTTCTGAGGTTGTAGCAATGACGTTAGCCGCGTAGCTTTATTAGCTTGTGGTTGTCGCCGGGCTAACACTTGTTGTCATCACTCCGGGGTGTTTCCTGCAGCTTAGCCTCTTAAAACCCGCTACTTTGTGACTGGACCTTGATGTGGTGCCCTCTTGACGGTTATTAAAGCCACAAACAGCAGGAGATGCAGTGCGCTCATGTGTACGCACTTCGGCTTCCACAAATGCTTAGCTTGCCGGCTTCAGGGTGTTCATTAACGCAATTTCTCAGGCCAAGCTTACTAAGCACAAAGAGGCTTTTTTAAACCCCTTTGTCAACATTGCACAGACGTTACTACACACTATAAATGAAAAGTGAAAAGGGAGTTGGAGGGAATACCTGTCATCTTTAACAGTGTTGGCTGATATTAAAGGTGCACTGCGTAACATTTCTGATGGGAGCTACACCACTTGCTTTTCTACAGATCTTATTGCTTTGTTTAGAATGCTCTGGTATGCCAAAAGAACTTGTGTCCATGTAGATAAGGAAGTGACACTGGCATATGAAGTTACTGGTCAGATCTGTAGACATGTAACTCCGCTCCGAATGCTTGCGTTACAGAGTATTTTAAAAAAAAATAACAAGCAGTAATGTAATGACAAATGCTATTTATGTTTAATGTTGTGTGGGGCGTTGCAGGCAAAACAATAGCATCTACAAGGGGATAAGCAGGTGGTGTACCCTGCTCCAGAAAAGTTACACAGTGCTCCTTTAATTGCACTGATTTCCAAACTGTTACATTTAATAAATGAAAGATGAACGATATTTGTTGGCGTTCAGTATTTATGTACATCTACTTTATGTACTTTTTAACATCTTGATGTGAGCCGTGAAGGGTTGAAAAATCATTTAGGTTAATTAGAATTATCACGTGGCAAAATGTGGTCTTCACTGTTGTTGTTTATTGCAGTATTATCTGGAAAAATACACCACAGTTTACAGTTTGGGGGCTGGCTGCTCCTATTGGAGCCTAGTTTTGATTCAGGCAGACATTAGTCTTGGTTTTCATGGTTAACCCTGGCATAGAATAAAACCACTTTATTATTGTAATCCAGGTTTACGTTGGGTAGGATTTAGGTTACTTTAAGTATTGTCATCCAAATTCTTAATGCAATTCTTGTGGTTCTTAATGTTACAAGCTAGTCTATATGAATTGAAATGGAGAAGTCACGGTCTATGGTCAACTGTTTTGTAGTACACTATGTTTTTGTAGCCCTTACACAAACTGTTATTTTAAGCAGTAAACGTTCGAAGCATTCCTGGGTCATTTCTCTTTGCATGCGTGTTCTCCATCAATCAGCAGAGATGTTGTACTATCTAACATTATCTTCAAGGTGCTCAATGTGCAGTGTGTTCCTCTGTCAAGGGCTTAAATCCGGAGATAACCGCCTCAATATCTTCCTGTTTTTTCAACTTGGCCGTGAAATCATCAAGCCAGCTCTTTATCAGACATGGATAATAGCATACACGATTGACCATTAAGTTTGTACATTTAATATCTTCTGTGCCCCATCTTATGATTTATACTGTTCTCTGATTGACCTCAATACCATCATTTAAAATTATATGAAATCAAGGAGCAGTTTTGCTAGGCATTGCAAAAGGTGTATACTGCTAGTAGGGGTGGGC